CGGCTATACTAACCCTAAGCTTTGCTAAACTTTCCATACTTTTTCAGATACACATAGTTCCCTTATCAGTACCCAAGTCTTATTTATAGTTTCTTACCTTGCAACACTCAATCTTTCATGCCAGACTTTCAGGTTTTTGGATTCTAGACTGTTATGCTTAAATCACGTCACCCACGTAACCCATAACAATAGATATTTTATGCTAGGCATGAGTATGTGATTGATTATATATTGCGCTTATTTGTCAGTAATCTTTTTCATTCCAATTAATATGCATGTACTGGCGACCTTCTGTTTTATTAGGTGTTTCTGATTGTCTTTGCATCCTAAGCTGGCATACCAGATTCCTAGGATTCTAACTGGTGTGTTGGGAGGGCATCCTTGTATTTTCTGGTTATTCATTATTACTCCTTTTTCTGGATCTTTCTCTGTGCTATTGATAATAATCAACTGTGACTTATTGGGATTGATTTTGATATCATTGATGTGATAGAATTCTTCTGCTATATGGATGATTCTTTGCAAGTCTATTCTGTTGTCTGTTGTCCATATTGTATCATCCATATATGCGTTGACTGCTATATTAATGGTTCTTTTCTTCCATCCTGTTTTGAATTCTGTATATACTTTGGAGCTTATTGTGTTGCCTTTATGTTGTTAACTGATTATAGCTAATAGTGGGTTGTAGAAGATGCGTCAAAATAATGGAGATATTGTGTCTCCTTGATCTATTCAATCTCTTACTTGATATTAATCTATTAGGCCATAACATGTTATAACTGCATTTTGATGATTTTGGAATATGCTGAGCAGAATTGTGACTATTGTGTCTGGTACCTTGATCCTTTAAAGGGCCAGCTGTAGCATCTCTAAATTGACAGAGTCATATGCTTTTAACATATTTTGACTCAAGATCCAGGCTTGTTGTTTAGTTTCTTTTGCATGTTCAATAATACTGCTGACTATGTGAATAGGGTCTTGGGTATTGCTACCTGGGAGTGCAGCCCAGTTAAATTCAGATAGTATTTCTACGTGAGTCAGACACTTGCCCAGTCTGTCTGTAATAATTTTGATGAATATTTTTCTTCCTGCATCAAGTAGTATAATGGGTTTAGTGATGTTCAGGTTGTGCACCCAGTCCTTAGGCTTAGGTATAGGATATATATATTCCCTGCTCCATTCTCTAGATGTGTTACCTTGTTGAATAATCAAGTTGAAGATCGCTCTAAGTTCTTCTCTTACTTTGTTCTTTAAATATTTGTATGCTAAGTATGATATCTAATTGGGACCTGGAGCTGACTTTGAGCTATATTGTCTGATTACTTGCGTGAGTTCTTCTATTGTGATTTCTTCTAGCATTCCTTTATAGTGGTACTGCTTGATGTGTAGTTTGGGTCTATATCTGGCCTGCCACCTAGGATGTCATTCTAAATTTTGGGTGTTTCTATGTGGTGTCCAATTGTAGAAGTGTTCCTTTACTTTGGTTTTGATTTCTGCTGATTCTATGACTATCTGCACGTCTTCTCCTTGTTGGATAATAAGTTTGTCTAGTTGTATTTGCCTTCTAGGTCTTTCGAGAATACTGTTGATCATGGCATACTTGTTATTGTTATATTGCTCTTGTCTTATCTGGATTCTTTTCCTTATTGCGATGGGCTGTCTTCTATGGGAGATAGCCTTTGCAACTGTTTTGTGTGTCTTTATGTTGCCTTGGATTATTTTAAACCATTTTTCTAGGTATGTATTGGGGTATTCAGCTTCTAATTTTTCAATTGTGGGCACCAAGTCTGAAACTGATTTTTGTATGCTCATTAGGATCTGAAGTGATTGATGTATTTTTTCTTCTTTTCTATCTTTTAGTTGTTGCCTTATTTGTGTGAGAAAATTCTATAGCTGTATTATAAGTGGTGCTTCTTCTATGTCTTTGACTTGATATCTTTTTCTCCAATGTGATTTCTTTTTTGGAATGTATTTTTTGGCTACTTTCTAAATAGTATTGCTGAATTGATTCCATTGATGGTTCAGAAGTTGATTACTTGTACCTTCTATTTGTATATTGTGTTCAATGTATTCGCTGAACTTTTCTCACTGCTGGATTGTGGCGAGTTGCCAGTTATATCTATGGTTGTGTTTATGATAGGTTGTTTGTTTTGGGATATCAAGGTTCCATACTTCTATTTCTGCTATCACTGTAACGTGGTTACTTAAAATTGCTAGTGCAGTAAGATCTTGGATGGTAGCCATTTTTGATTGTCATGTTGCCTGTGGGCTCATCCAGATTTGGTTGATTCTACTACTGCTTCCTCCTCTACTTCAAGTATATTCTCTCTTTGTGGGGTTGTGTGTTCTATATATATCTTCCAAGTTGTTGTCCAAGAGGATTTGTATTTGTTTTCCTGAAGAGTTGTGTTTTTTTGGTTGTCTTTGTGCTGCTGTGTTTGTTGATGGCTGGGTTGGGAACTCCATTCATATCCCCTACTACTAGAAAATATCATCTTTTTTCTGTTGCTTCTTTGATCCATTTGTTTAGGGTATTGAGTACCCTTTACTTTTCTCCTTCCATGTCTTGTACAGGGAAGTAAACTCCAATTATTCTCATTTTTTTTTTGTGTGGGAAGGCCAGGTCAGCTGCAATAAGTCTATCTGCGAGTGTTTTGTAATTATATATTCTATATGCAATGTCTTTATTGATCATTATATTTAGACATTGTCTGCTGGTTTGTGCTTCTTTGTGGGTCAATATAGTTTGAAATTTCTTGTGTTGCCAATATTTTAATTGTTGATGTGACCCATTTGTTTCTGTGGTAATTATGATATCCCAATTTGCTGTGTCGCAGAAATTGAACCATGTCTCACATTTGTGTGTCTCTACTAGGCCTTGAATATTGAATATTGTGACTTTCTATATTGATTTGTATTCTCTATATGTTGTTGAGGGTATTGTTGTGCCAGTTGTTGTATCATTTGTATTTGGATTCTGGTTTGAATTTGTTGTTAGGTAATCTGTTTCTTCCGTTTGTTGTTTTGGTATATTGTAAAAGTTTGTCGTTTGATTGTTTCTGGAGTTTCTTGGTTCTTATATATATAGTGTTTTGATTATTACCCATTATTGTCTATGTGAGGGGGAGGGTGTGCTGCCTGAGATGGAGTTTAGTATAGTGTTGTATATCTGGTCCATGTGTTTGTCTAATTTTTGCATGGATGACTGAATACATTGTTGTTGGGTACAGATGTCTTGGGTACTATTTTGGAGTACTGTGTCTGTTATTGAACTTTCTTCTGTATCGAAAGGGAAGGTGTCTTCATCCATTTGTTTCATGTAATCTTCATCATATGTTTCTAAGTTAACTATATATTCCTCTAGATCAGCTATGTTTTCTTTTATCTCTTGAATTTCTTGTCTTATTTTCTTGAGAATGTGAAGTACTTCCATCATGGTTGTTTGAGGGGGATGAGCATGTGTCTCCATTTCTTTGTGTAGTCTTGCTGCTGCTGCGTAAGAGCCTAGCCTAACCTTTCTCTGATTGTTTTGTATAGTTGCCTTTCTTCTTATACTTTCAATACGTGTTGGCCTAAATCTGTTATACAGTTTGCTGAATCTGTTGGCTTGTTCAATATTGTACTGGTTCTATTGTGTTCTTCTTTCTTTGATTGGGCATTGAGCAACTAAATGTGTTGCACTCCCATATATAGTGCAAAGTTTTGTGTCAATTGGTTTCTATTCTGCTTGAGTTTTTCCAAGAAGAACATTCTGTGTTGTTGCTACTTTCAGGTCCTCTTGGTTCATGAAACCAATAATTGTGAACTGCTTGCATCTGTATGACATATACCTTGGAATATAGCATGTCTTGGCTCCAGTTTGTTCACATGTTAGTCTGAGGTCGAAAGTGGTGGTATTGGGTGGAAGGTTTGTTAACATGGCTGCAATATTTCCACGTGCCTTCATTTGATCCATGTCCCATTATGCATCAAAAATTCTAACTGATTCTAATCATAGCAAAATACTCCAATTGGCAACTAGATCTTCTTTGACTTGTTTGTCTGTATAGGTGATGACTGTTGATTGCCATATTTGTTATGTAGACATGTCGATATTTATAATCTCTCCAAATTTGGCAAAGGTCTGTTGTACTTCTATGAATTTTATATCTAGGGGGATGTTCCATACCCTGATACTGCTTTCCTTATTTGGTTTAGGTGATATGAAAGCCATGTGTTCAAGATAAACCCCATCTATTTCGAGTAAGATAGTGTTGCATGCTTCTTCTGCAGTGTGATGATCACTAAAAATAGCAATGATATGTTTTTCTTCTCCTTTTCCTTCGCTACGAATAGAGAGAAGGCCGGTGAGTGTGTTCAAGCTTTTTGCAATGTGTGCTGTCTTTTGGTTGATAGTTCTCCCTGGGACTTCTGATGCTTTGATGCCTGTTTTGACTCTTTCCCTGCTGAATCTTGTTGTTGGATCAATAGGTTATCTTGGTCTGGATTTACCTACTCTATTGATTGGTACGTTTCTGTAGGAGACTTCCTGCCATTGCCCACTGGATTCAGATCTTGTCCAGCTGCTGGTGCCTGGTTCCTTTATTTTTACATCTGAATCATCTATTTTTGCTACTGTAAATGCAACAGGAGAGTTCTTACTTTGTTCGTTTTCTTGAGTATTTCTACCTTTAGTGTTTATGTCAGTTTTTGTGTCTTGTGTGATCATTTTTTCCACTTCATCACTCCAAGTTGGTTGTTTTTGATTGGTTTTCTTTTCTCTGATGGTTTCTGTACCTGCGGTTGCAGGCTGGCTTGTATTCTGGTTCCTTGATTGTTCATTTTTGGCATTTTCTAGAGGAGTTTCTCTTTCTTTTCCTTTGTTTTTTGGATTGAACTTTGTTGTCTCCATATGGGTTTCTTTGCATAGCAGTCTTGTGTTACCCTTCGCCAGGATGTTCTCGTTGTAGTTGGGTCTGCCCTGGGTATATGAGCTTCTGCGGTTTCTAGGAGAACTCATCTTTTCATTCACTTTTCTTCTTGTTTCCCAAAATTGTCTAAAAAGGAAATTTTTAAGAAAAAAAGAATCTGCAGGAAAGAGTTTTTTTTTTTATTTTACTTGGAAAATACATAATAATAAACAAAATAATCATTATATAACAAATATTAGTGGTAAAGGATTCCATCGATCATTACATCCTGAATGGAAAATAGTTACCACATCAATCGCAATAATCTCGACAATCACAAATGCAATTTAAGGAATAGAAGCAATGGAATAAATCAAAAAAATTGTAAATTATATAAAAATAATACATTTGGAATTAATGGATTAAGCTTGAATAAAAGCAAAGAAAGATGGCAATTCATATACAGAGAAAATGGTCAATATTATAAAAATTTATGGTCAAAAGATAAAAAAAAAAACAAGCTATTGAGTTCAAAAAAATAGTTGATAAAAGAATCAAAAATCATAATGGACAAATAGTTGATAATTTAATTTAGTTTATATTATTTATTTGATATCATTTTATGTTATTTATTTGATATTATTTTATATTAAGTATATATATTTTTTAAAGATAAATATTATTGAAATTGATAATCAAAATATTTGTCTTTCATAATAACAATTATAAAATCCCCATATCTAAACTATCTTTCCTTTTCAATTTGCCATCTTCGAACTCGTTCTTCATAATCTTCAATCAGTTCATCTTTATTTCGATTGTCCCAATACCCAGCATAATATCTTTCAGGTTTAGAAGATTCTAAACCAGATTCAATAAGTATTAATCACATGTAATCGAATCTTGTAGGCTTGATTCTTGAATCTTTATTTACTGTTTCTTTATTTTGAACGGCAATTGACATAACCTCTCTAACTATAGGAGATTTACCCAAAACCTCAGCTACATCCTGATGATATTCAGATTTGAATATCAATAAATAGCTAAATCCTGGAGTTTCTGAACTTGAAAACATATTAATTTAATTTTTTAAATGGGTATTGTTTATTATTTTTGTAATTAATTTGGTAAATGATTTTTTAAGGGTAAAGATTTTTTATGGTATTTTTATAACTTTATTTTTTTGAAAAATTGTTTCGTCAAAATCAAATCTTTTATATATTTATAATAACAATTTTAAATATTTCCTATTATCATAAGATCTTGGAAATTTATATATTTTTATATTTAAATAAATTATCTATTACTATTGGTTCTAAATAAGAAGATTCTTAATAATAATTTAATATATATTTTCATATCCAGATAAATTATCTAACACAATTGGTTCATTAATTTTAATTGATCATAAAATACTGCACTTAGATAATTTTCAAGGGACACATAAATTCTTATTTACAAAAAACTATTTTTGTTGATGTGTACTTTCTTATTTATATAAAAACATATATGAAATAAATATCAACAATAAAGATCCACGAGATGATATACTAAATCTTATATAAGTATAATTTAATCATTGTTGATGCAAACTGATAAACAACTAAACTCATTATATACTCATATGCATGCTACAATCATTTGTATTTTTTATTTAAAGTGATAATTATTCTTAATTATCAAACATTCATCATATTCTCTTTTTCAACATTCCCAGAGAAACACGAACCACTAAAGCACAAAGACTCTCTCATTCAGGAAGAATGGATCCTTTATGGGTAACTGTTATCACCCTACAAGAAAGAGTCAAGTATTTGGAAAGGCAAATATGTCATGGAAAATGATCCCAAGCTAATTTTCAAGAAGAGATTAAACAGTTGAAGGAAGAAGTAGAATGGTTGTCCTCCAGAAGTTTCTCCTCAA